CCTTGAGTGCCCAACAGGGCCGGTCAATCTGGAAGGGCCAAAACCAAGGCCAAGGCCGGCCGCGCGCGGGCCAGGACAAGCCAGACCCTTGAGTGCCCAACAGGGCCGGTCAATCTGGAAGGGCCAAAACCAAGGCCAAGGCCGCCCCGCGCGGGCCAGGACAAGGCCAGACCCTTGAGTGCCCAACAGGGCCGGTCAATCTGGAAGGGCCAAAACCAAGGCCAAGGCCGCCCGCGCGGCGCGCGCGGGGGCCAAGATAAGGCCGGACCCTTGCGTGCCCAACAGGGCCGGTCAATTTTCTGACTATAGGGTTTAAATATATATAGGTAAGAGAGGTTTAGGGTTTAGGGTTTAGGGTTTAGGGTTTAGGGTTTAGGGTTTAGGGTTTAGGGTTTAGGGTTTAGGGTTTAGGGTTTAGGGTTTAGGGTTTTGGTTTAGGTTTTAGAGGTTTTAGGTTTAGGGTTTAGTGTTTTAGGTTTTAGGGTTTAGGGTTTAGGGTTTAGGGTTTAGGGTTTAGGGTTTAGGGTTTAGGGTTTAGGGTTTAGGGTTTAGGGTTTAGGGTTTAGGGTTTATAGAAATTGTATAGGGTTTGGGTCCCAATAACGTTTTGAGCGAAAGTTTTGACCGAAACGTTTTGAGCGAAAGTTTTGACCGAAACGTTTTGACCGAAACGTTTTGACCGAAACGTTTTGTTTTTTGGAACCACCTTTTCATTTTTGGGGCTGGGGGCGGGCTGGGGCTGGGGCTGGCCTGGGACTGGTTGGGTACTGGGGGTGGGGCTGGGGCTGGGGGCTGGGGCTGGGGCTGGGGCTGGGGCTGGGGCTGGAGCTGAGACTGGGGCTGAGACTGGGGCTGTGGGGCTGTGGGGCTGTGGGGCTGTGGGGCTGTGGGGCTGTGGGGCTGTGGGGCTGTGGGGCTGTGGGGGGCGTGGGGCGGTGGGGCGTGGGGCTGTGGGTCTGTGGGGCTGTCTGTGGGGCCTTTCTTGTGGGGCTGTCGTGGTGCTGTCTGTGGGGCTGTCTGTGGGGCTGTCTGTGGGGCTGTCTGTGGGGCTGTCTGTGGGGCTGTCTGTGGGGCTGTCTGTGGGGCTGTCTGTGGGGCTGTCTGTGGGGCTGTGTGTGGGGCTGTGTGTGGGGCTGTGTGTGGGGCTGTGTGTGGGGCTGTGTGTGGGGCTGTGTGTGGGGCTGTGTGTGGGGCTGTGTGTGGGGCTGTGGGGCTGTGGGGCTGTGGGGCTGTGGGGCTGTGGGGCTGTGGGGCTGTGGGGCTGTGGTGGTGGGCTGGGGGCTGTGGGGCTGGGGGGCTGGGGGGCTGTGGGGCTGTGGGGTGGTGGGCTGTGGGGCTGTGGGGCTGTGGGGCTGTGGGGCTGTGGGGCTGTGGGGCTGTGGGGCTGTGGGGCTGTGGGGCTGTGGGGCTGTGGGGCTGTGGGGCTGTGGGGCTGTGGGGCTGTGGGGCTGTGGGGCTGTGGGGCTGTGGGGCTGTGGGGCTGGGGCTGGGGGCTGGGCCAGCCTGGGGTCTGGGTTTGGGGCTGGGGCCTGGAGCCTGGATGGTGGGCTGGGGGCTGGGGGTGGGGCTGGGGCCTGGTGGGCCTGGGTTTAAGCCTTGTGTGGGGCCTGGGCCTGGGCCGGCCTGGGCCTGGGCCTGGGCCTGGGCCTATAAGGAGTGAACGAATACAATGAACGCCCCGTAAAAAGACTTATTGTTGGGGCGTGTTAATAGTATTCCTGTCCCGTTCATTGCATTCACTTCGTAGTTATAATATCTTCATGAATACTGTAACTTCATGAACAAGCCTTTCTGTGGGGTCGCTCATAAGATTCATGCATTCGCGAGCTCATTTATAATCTTATTCCCTCGTTTCGTTCACACAATTATAATATTATTACACGCGTAAACTTGCCATAATATTAAAATTGTATTCTCTTCACGTACTACCTTCACTCACAGATCACCAGGAAAGCCCACATGAAGATAACACCCCGGAAAGCCGTGTGCATGAGGAAATGATTGGTGCGTTCCTGTTGTTCCGGAGATTCCTAAAGACCCTTGAAAAACCCCTTCAAGAAGCTAATGTGTCATCCTAATGGTTGCTCCCTTCGTATGAGTGTATGAGTGAAACGGTGAGACAGGAGCCAGTTGATGATTGTTCCAGAGTGAATAGAACTAAAACCGTGAGTCCAATTCACTGATTCTTGCGTGTACACCATTGAGTGAGTTTATGAAGAGAGCGCATTATAATGAAGCGAAGTGAAAGCATGAATGCGCGAAAGAAGCGAACGAAGGGCATGAACGAAACAACACACTTTTTCTATGGACGCGCTCACTGTGTTCACGCATTATTATTCTATTCTTAGTGCTCACGCCTTTATTATTATGTAGAGAACGTACTAAATTACAGGATTAATTCACTTCCTTCGTTTCACTTCGTTCACAGGATAATATGCTTCATACACCCTTATTACCGTATTAAATTGGTTTATAAAGTGTGAACGGACAACACGCGTTAATAAATTCCCTGTCATTCCGGCGGTTCGTATGCACGGTTGGGCGATTTGTAATATAATCTCGCGTCTTTTATTGCATTAGGAAAGAACGGAGTGAAAGGAACCCACATTCAGATATTAACTCACTTCCTTCTTTCGTTTCTTTCACGGATTCACGCGGTCGCTCCTTTCATCGCTTCCTTGTAATGCCCAATTTCATTGGGAGCCTGGGAAGCGGACAATTTGGGGTTTTGGAAGCCAATTTTGGGCTTTGGAAGGTGAGTTGGGCTTTGGTTTGCCGGGGCACGGGAAGGCCCCACAGGTTTAAGTAAATTGAACATTTGGCCTCCCGGCCTCCCGCTTTGGATTAATTTACTTAAACTCTGTTTGTCAGCTGTTTAGACAAATATCTTTGAAAATTCAGATTGGTACCACATACAATTTCTATTTATTTTGTCTTGAGGGTTTAGGGTTTAGGGTTTAGGGTTTAGGGTTTAGGGTTTAGGGTTTAGGGTTTAGGGTTTAGGGTTTAGGGTTTAGGGTTTAGGGTTTAGGGTTTAGGGTTTAGGGGTTAGGGTTTAGGGTTTAGGGTTTAGGTTAGGTTAGGGTTAGGGTTTAGGGTTTAGGGTTTAGGGGTTTAGGTTTAGGGTTTAGGGTTTTAGGGTTTAGGGTTTAGGGTTTAGTTAGGGTTTTAGGGTTGGTTTAGGGTTTAGGGTTTAGGGTTTAGGGTTTAGGGTTGGGTTAGGTTAGGGTTTAGGGTTTCGGGTTTGGGTTTAGGTTTGGGTTTAGGGTTTAGGGGTTTAGGGTTTAGGGTTTAGGGTTTAGGGTTTAGGGTTTAGGGTTTAGGGTTTAGGGTTTAGGGTTTAGGGTTTAGGGTTTATAGAAATTGTATAGGGTTTGTGTCCGGGGTTTTGACCGAGTTTTGACCGGTTTTGACCGGGTTTTGACCGGTTTTGACGGGGTTTTGACCGGGTTTTGACCGGGTTTTGACCGGGTTTTGACCGGGTTTTGACCGGTTTTTTCTTTTGCTTTTGAACAAAAATGCGATGGCTTCCCAGGCTTGGGGGAGGTGGGGGGAGGGGGTGGGCCGGGGGGGCGGGAGGGGGGAGGGGGGAAGGGGGATCCCTACTGCAGGCCCTGACGGGTGTTTTGGGGTTGGGGGGGTTGGGTAGATGGGGTAGAATTGTATATGGCTTTCCAGGCTTGGTGAGGCCTTGCGCAAAACAGTTGGAGAGCCCGAATAAAGTTGGTGCTTGAGAGACTTGTTTACTGAAGCTTTTTAGGTTTTCTCTTTTCTCGCATTGTTCGCATTGTTTTCGTGCCAAGTTTCGGATTGCGAATGTGTTGGGAAATTGCAGGATGTCAGCTGCCCCGGTGCTAGGTCCGCGGCTGCTTCCAGTTCGTGCTTAGTGGTGACCGGCTGCAAGACCATCTCCCATCGAATAGCTTCCTTCATGCGGACTGCAAGACCATCTCCCATCGAATGTGTTGGGAAATTGCAGGATGTCAGCTGCCCCGTGCTAGGTCCGCGGCTGCTTCCAGTTCGTGCTTAGTGGTGACCGGCTGCAAGACCATCTCCCATCGAATAGCTTCCTTCATGGGGACGGACTGCAAGACCATCTCCCATCGAATACGGTCATACACAGCCAGGTCTTACAGGGTTTGCGTCCGGGGTTTTGGCGGGCCATGGGTTCTGATTTTCTAAATTGCTGGTTGCAAATTCTTGGGCAGATATTGACTCGTCTTCGGTATTTGGCAAATGCAAGACACGACTTTTCGGGGCCTTACCTAGGACTTTTTCTATGACAAGAATGTATGTTCGATTCGCTTTTTGTGAGTTCGCTTCTATTGAGCCAAGAATTTTGCGTGGATGGATTGTCGTGGATGTGTTGCTGTGAGGAATTACACAAGCTTGCTGGATGTTCTTCCACGCCAGCTCGTTGCTTCTTTTCCACCGAGCTGGCGTACATTGGTGGTCCTGACCTAAGCTTTGGTCTGCGCAGACCCTGCTGCAGGCGGTGAGACATGGACGTTGTGTCCTCGGCAGCCGCGGAACCTGGCAGGCGGCCGGGGGTTGCTGTGCATTCTTGCTGCCTCTACAGACATGGTGGTTGCGTGCGTTGAAGCCCTTCCCTGCCGGCCTAGACTTCTCGGATTGCAAATGTGTTGGGATATTGGGCGAGGTCGTGCAAGAAGGCTTGGTCTGTCAGCTGCTCCGGAGAGCGCGTCGTGGAGTCGATGCGAAAGATGCTGTCGTTGAAGAAGCGGTAGGCCACCCAGTGAGCATTGTCTCGGTTCTGTACGAGGCCCACGGCTGCTTCCAGTTCGTGCTTGGTGGTGACAGGCTGTAGCACCATCTCCCATCGAATGCGGTTGAAGGCAGCTAGGGCTTTGGATTGAATAACTTGGGCCAGAACCTCGGAGGAGTAGTAGCCATCTGCGGCCATGTGGTCCTGGGCGACTTCACCTCGCTCCTCTCCGCCCTCCTGGAGAAGGATTTGCACGGCTTCCTTCATGTCGGTTTCGGTGAAGATGGCCCCGCCCAAGGCATTATTCAAGGCATGCATGCCGCAGAGAGCACGATCCTGGCGCTCGAAATATGGGAGGTTGCTTTGCGGGGATGGCAGCGGGGCTGCGGGCTGATTGCTCGTCCGCGCAAGCTTGGCTGATGGAGCGTTTGGCGCCGAGTCGGCTGCTGGCCTTTTGTCGGGGACACCGATGAGCAGGAACCTGCTTTTGGCGCTGGATCTGCTCTTGGCTTTGGCGGTGCTCTTGGTACGGCCCTTGCACCCTCCCTTGCCGTTGCTTGTCGCTTTTGCGCTGCCTTTCGCTTTTGCTTTGGGTTTGGACGGGCACTTCTGCTTGTGTTCCTTGATGGCAAGTTTGGTGTTTGGGAGTTCTTGTCCGCATTGCTGGCAGCACCAGGGAAGTTCACCATCTGCATGCTCCTCTTCTTCCTTGCGTTTCATCAGCTGAGCCCAATCTGGAGCGCCCATCTCGGCAAGCTTGGCTTCATAGAAGTCCTTGCTCTGCGGCGGCTGGAAGAGTTGCTTCCACAGTTGGGATCCGTCCCGCTCGGCTTGCTGGGCCTTTAGTTGGGTGAGTGCCCATTCCGCCTTTGAGTTGAATCGCAGGGACTTGGGATTGAAGAATTCCAGGGTGCAAAGGGCTTGCTCGGGGCAGCGGCTCAGAGCCACGTACGCTTGCCCCTCTTGCTTGCAGGTGGCATCGAGGCGGGAGTGGGCACCATCCTGCAGTGTGGCCGCCTGACTTTTGTGAATGGTGGTGGCCTGCGCTAGCACCAAGGGAAACTGCAACCTTGAGGCCTTGCTGCCTTCCATGTCCAGATAGGTGGCGGACCGTCGCGAGATGGCAACGAAGCTGGTTTCGTTCTCTGCGCGCCACTTGGCGCCAGCCTTCTTCTCGAATTCGATCCAAACCTTTTCAATCTCTCCAGTGGTTTCGTCTGCATCAATGTGCTCAACAAAGCCGCAGGCTCCGTTGACCAGGCCGTCTTGCGTGTCGAGGTTGTACCTGAGCATCACGCGGACACCGACAGCAAGGTGCAGCAAGGTTTCCAAGCCGGCCGTGTTCTCTGGATCAGCCCACACCACTTCGGGAGACAGCGGCGCACCCGTTTTGACATTCGTGTCTAGGGCAGGACTTTGGTAGAGCTTGACGCCGGTCCTTCTGACATGCTCCTCGATGTAGTGGCGATTCTTCTCCGCCACGGCTCTGCGCGTCGGGTACAGACACACGGCCTTTGGAGAAGGCTGCCTGCTGTCGTTCTTGTTCAGGACCATACCTTGCAGCTCCTGAATGTCCTCTTCCGTCCACATGCCGACACGAATTCGTGCGAGAAGAGCTGCCCACTTCGGGTCCTTTGCTGCGCGTTGATTGCCTTCTAGCTCGCACAGCTGAAGCAATGTCCACAGTGAGCTGGCAAAGGCTGGCAGCCCGCCCGGCGGTGGCAGCTGATAGAGGTCTCCAGAGAACACGACATGCACTCCTCCGAAGGGAACGTGCGGCATGTTCTTAGCCAACCGCAGATGCTGATCCAGGCGCTCCAACATGAAGGACGATATGAAGCCCATCTCGTCCACGAAGAGGGCCGCCACCAGCTTCCAGATGCTTCGCAGCGTGGCCAGGATGGGGCCATTTGGTAGCGGCACGTCGCAGGCCCTTCCATAGCTTTGGTTCACGACGGGAAGCAAGCAGCAAGTGTGGAGAGTGACGCCGTTGATGTTCCATGCTGCCACCCCTGTGGGCGCAGCAATGATAGTTCCCACTCCCGCCTCCCGAAGCATGTGGGCTGCTGCGCGCACCACCACGGACTTCCCACAGCCGCCCGGTCCGTGGAGGAGCATGTGGAGGCGGTCAGTATTGTTGGTGTCATTGGTGTTGCGGCGTTCCCACACCGTCTCGAAGATGTATTCCATGGCTCTTCGTTGATGCTGTGTTTCTGTGCTGGGGTTCTCCGCGGCAGTGAGCATGTTGAAGGATTCCTCGCCGCCTTCCACCGGCGCAAAGGCATCTCCAGGTGCTCCTGTCGGAACATGGTCTGGGGCCGCAAATTCGATGTCGTCCCCATGACGTGCCTTCAGTGCCTCCAAAATCTGGATGGAGTCCTCGTAATTGTCCTGCGCGATCTTGCTGTTGGCCCATCCATCTCGCAAGTGTGCAGGGTGCATCCTCGCCTTCATGTACATGACGGCCTGGACGGCCTGCAGCTTGCGAGCGGCATTCACTGTCCCGTCCATTTGCGGGAAGCATCTCGACCGCAGGAAATCTGGGTACCCATCCAAGTCGCGGGCGATGCGCTGGAAGGCTGCTGCGTGGCTACCTTTGTCCTCTTCTTGCAGCCAATCGCCTGGTTCCGTCCAAACGGAGTAGAGCAGCAGCCTGGAGAACCAAAAGGCCTCCGGTTCCTGGTCAGGGCTGAAATTCCGGTATCCGACGATGGCCGGACGCTTTCTGAGCTGAGGGAATTCCACGCCGATGAACTTGAAAGCTGCGCAGAAATCCAAGAAGTTCATGTTCATGAGGCGGCATGTTGCAGGCTTGCCCCCTTCCACAGGCAACTCCACTTCGATGTTGCCGAAAGCGACTTGCATCTCCCTGTACCAGCGCTGTGCAGCCGGCATGTGTCCATCCCTGTCGAGTTTGCTGTTGCGGTAGCTCTCCGGCTGTTGTAGCGCCAGGCTCTCTTCGTGCTGGGGCACGGACAACGTCCAGGTATCGGGTGGTCCGACTTGAACCCAAACGTGCTCCCTGGAGAACTCAACGATGGGAAAGCCTAGCAGCAAGTGGCACGCCTCGAAGGTGGACGTGGTCCGGCCCTGCAGCGCTGCGTGCGCGGCTTTGTACACCTGCTGGCTGCCCAAGCTGGCGCCACCATGGTCATTGCGGCTGGAGGCGAGGCTGGCCAGTATACTCTCCATGCGCCGCTGGGCCGCGAGATCTTGTTCCGATTTAAAGGAGTAGCCCAGGATGTAACGACTGGCGCTGGTCAGTTCGCAGATGACTTGGAGGTCCATGCTGGCACGCCACCGTCGCAGGATCTTGATGTTGTATTGCCCGAACATGTTGTCCCCCTGGGCCCGCCTGACCACGAGGCTGCTTTTCCAGCGGCTGTTGGCATACTTCTCCTGGGAGGTGCGGCGTCGAGTTCGCTCTTCGATTTCATTGTGTGGAAAGCCAAACCTGCAAGAGCCATACGTCTTGATGCCGCAATATTCACTGTGCTTGTGCCGCACTAGCTCCGCCAGCTGGGCATTTAGCTCCTTGTTGCGGGGTGAGACTTTCGTGGATTTGCGCCAGCTTTCTGGTGACTTCGTGCAGATGTACTTGTCACTCCAGTCTTCTGCGCAAGTGGGCGTGAAAGACTCCATGGCCTCTTCATCCGACCAATCCGGATCTGCTTCCGCTGTCTTCTCACAGTCTCTGGAGCTGACTGCGCTTGTTCGTCGCGGCCATTCCACTGCCCAAAGCAAAATGTGAGCGTGAGGGTAGCCCCTCTTCTGCCACTCGATGCGGATGATGTAGTCTCGGATCTTGAATGGTGGGCGCTCCTTGCGAACGCCGCGGTGTCGGCCCGCTGAATCTCTCGTTGGCGCTTGCGCAAAGTCTTCAGGCTCTTTGCAGTGGCCGCCCTCCGGCTCGTCCTGCTCGTCTGCTTCCTGCTCCAGATGGGACTCTGTGTCATGCTCGGCCTCCAGCCATGCCATGAGTTGGTTGAGCTGGTGCATGAACTGTCGTGCCACGATCGCCGGCTGTTGGTTGCACAGCTGGTTTGGCGACAGATCGTCCCACTTGAATTGCTCGTCAGACTGGTAGCAGCGCAGGATTTCAGCGGCTTGACGCTCCAGCTCTTGCGGAGGCGTTTCAGGACGCAGCCGCAGTAGCCGCGCTGTGATGGCCGCAACAAGGATGTCGGGCTGCCGAGCGTGGCAAGTGAGGGTCATGAAGAAGTTGGGTGTTCCGAGCTGCTCGTACATGCTGAGCGCGACGCCCTTCTTTGCGTAGATGTAGGGCTGAGTACCGGGGATGTCCCTGAGGGCTGTGTAGACCTGGTTGTTGCCACGTTCGTACATCGTCTTTCTGCTTGGAGCCTGCTGGCCGCTGATCCGCACATTGATGTTGCCTGAAAGGCGCTTCTTGGTTTGCGTCTCCAGGAGCCACATGGTGTAGGCTGGGGATGCCTCGAAGCGTGGATCCTGGCTCAGCAAGCGCTTGCGTGCATACTGTGAGAAGCTTGGGTACATGCTTTGCCATCCGCCCGTTCCCGTGGGAAACAAGTGCGGGAAGAGCTTGACATCCATGTCGTCGGTGAGCGCCGCGCAACCTCGGGCCTTTTGTAACTGCCTTGTCTCGGCTCCAGGGATCTTCAACTCTTTGGGCAAAAGGTACGTCATCTCGAGATCTTCTTCCTTCTCTTGCAGGATACCGTGACTTTGGCTTCCCAAGGCCGAGGAGTGTGAGCCACCGGACTCCCCCGTTTGGCGCCCTTGGGAAGGTGTTTGCTGACTCAAACGCTCGTCGACCGCATCAGGCTGCGCCAATTGGACATCCAGGATGGTGGCCATTTTGGCTATGGCTCTGTCCACGGCTGGATTGGCTTTGTACAAGCGGTGTTGGGCCTTCAGTTCCTTCAAAGCTTCGTGCAAGCAATCCAGGCGGGCTGGAGTAGCAGTCAAGCCTTGAACTCCCTGGACCAAGACTGTTCCATCTTCCTCCAGCATGGCTCCCTCCAATACGTCACAGATGAAAGGGTCCTCCATGAGGACGGCGTACATGCGGCCCCACTGTGCGCTGGGGCCACCTGACGGGAGTTTGTCGATGAGGACTTGCGAGATCCGAGCCATGGCGATCAGGTGCTGCTCGATGGGCCTCAGTATCTGGAGTGCCTCTGGCGCAGGTGGCACATCTGGTAGGATGATCTTCGTAGAATCTTCGCGGCACCTTTTGCAAAGCATCTGCTTGGTTCCTTTGGCCGGGCAGACGTGCTTCGCAGGGGTAAGGGTCCGACACTTCTCGCAAGCACGCGACAGCCCGAATCTGCCCCAACTACGCACGAATGCAAGGTAGTGAGCATCCACTTGTTCAGGCGTCAGCTCATCTTCATCAGGAAACGGGTAGCCCTGCTTCTGGATCTCAGTTGCAATGGGCTTCGGACCACGGCTTCCGACCCCTGACTCAGCACGTTCGGCTTGCAGCTGAAGCCTCTGTGCTTGGCGGTTGTCCTCCTGTGGCTTTGGCCCCCGGCTTGCAAACCCGTCCTCAGCACGTTCGGCTTGCAGCTCACGCCTCTGCGCTTGTCGGCTGACCCCTTGAGGGGGCAAGGGCCCGCGGCTTGCAAACCCGTGCTCAGCACGTTCGGCCTGCAGCTGAAGCCTCTGTGCTTCGCGGTTGTCCTTCTCTGGTTTTGGCCCCCGGCTTGCAAACCCGTGCTCAGCACGTTCGGCTTGCAGCTGAAGCCTCTGTGCTTCGCGGTTGTCCTCCTCTGGTTTTGGCCCCCGGCTTGCAAACCCGTGCTGACCACGCTCGGCTTGCAGCTCATGCCTCTGCGCTTGTCGGCTGACCCCTTGAGGGGGCAAGGGCCCGCGGCTTGCAAACCCGTGCTCAGCACGTTCGGCTTGCAGCTGAAGGCTCTGTGCTTCGCGGTTGTCCTTCTCTGGTTTTGGCCCCCGGCTTGCAAACCCGTGCTCAGCACGTTCGGCTTGCAGCTGAAGCCTCTGTGCTTCGCGGTTGTCCTTCTCTGGTTTTGGCCCCCGGCTTGCAAACCCGTGCTCAGCACGTTCGGCTTGCAGCTCACGCCTCTGCGCTTGTCGGCTGACCCCTTGAGGGGGCAAGGGCCCGCGGCTGCCACCTCCCTTTGCCGCCCGTTCCTGTTGCCGAGCTTTTCGCTTAGTGCTTTCTTCTGCCTGACGCTCTTCTTTCTCGGCTTGGCGGCAGCTTGGATCGCTGCACCACCCCTGTCCCCGACCGCTCCTGCTTCCCACACCGCATCGCTGGCAAGGCGCCATGGCAAATGTTCAGGTCTATTTGTGCTCAGGCTGTGTCCGAAAAGCTGCGAACGGTTTGCGCGCCGGAGATTGTGAAATAAAGCGCGTGTCAGAAGGCATTCTCTAGCGTGTGCAACAGCTTGTCTGTCTTTCCTTGCCAGTCCACTTTGCTATTTTCTTGCTCCTGCGTCTGTGGTGACTTGGTTTGCTCTCAAAAAGATGTACAGAGCGGAGACAAACTTAAGAGTTCACGCCAGGTGCCTGGCGACTCTACACGCCGAAGTCTTGTCAAGGCCACGAGCAGCAGCCTGTTGTCTTCACTGCGCAGCATGTCTTCATGGCTGCGTGTCCTGCGCTGCGACGATGTCCCACAAGTCATCGGAGAGGACCAACGTGTCCAATGGAGTTGGCTCCCCGTCTAAGACCGTGCACACTTCTTGGTTCCTGCTCTGCAGACGGCCTTGGGCTGCCGCTGCTATGGTAGCGGATGTAGGAAGCTGTTCCATCTCCAGCGAATGGCTTGACACGCTGGCGATTCGCAGCACCTCTTCACCGGCCACCGTGGTGAACACGACGTCGACGGCATTTTGATCCGCGGGCATCAAGCTGCAAGTAATAACCAAAGGCGAGGGTACTTCTCGGACATAGACCTTCCCTGCCGGAAGATTGATCCAATTGTCAAAGCGCAGTTCTTCCGCTTCGAAGACAGCAACATGAGGTGCTTCTGGATGCCATTGGGTAAATCGGCATTCCAGCCTATTCATGCCTCTGACGCAAAAGACAGGCATATACCATCCAGGGGCTGTCTCTGTGGCAAGCGCAGTGCCACTCAAGCCAATCAGCGACCAGGAGCCAGGACCGCCATCCAAACACCGGCTCCATTCAAGACGGCAACCATCCATCTTGCAAGTTTCCAACACTGGCAGAAAGTGTGGCTCGTGTTCCCACTTCTGAGCCAAGACTGCTGCGAATGCCTTGCTTTCAAGAATATTCATTCTGTGTGTGACTCTCTGCTCTCTCACGTGAACCTTCCTCGGCTTCGTGCATTTCTTTTTCAACCGCCTGTTCAGAACCGTGAATGGGGTGGCCTGCGCTCTGGAAGTCCTCGCCCATGTCTTCGGGCATAAGATTCAGAAGTCCGAGTCCGCGTCCGGAGCCGTACCTTGGCTGCGTGATGACAGCCTGGAGATGGTTGTCCAGGGGACACGGTCATAGACTGGATTCTTGATTTTGGGCCCAAGCGCACGGCGGTTGTGTTTGGGAAAAAGCTACGCGTGACCTGGCAGTGACAGCAACTAAAAACTCGACCGTGACGGCAGCCATCGCCCTGCGCTCTGGAAGTCCTCGCCCATGTCTTCGGGCATAAGATTCAGAAGTCCGAGTCCGCGTCCGGAGCCGTACCTTGGCTGCGTGATGACAGCCTGGAGATGGTTGTCCAGGGGACACGGTCATAGACTGGATTCTTGATTTTGGGCCCAAGCGCACGGCGGCTGTGTTTGGGAAAAAGCTACGCGTGACCTGGCAGTGACAGCAACTAAAAACTCGACCGTGACGGCAGCCATCGCGCTACATCTTTTCTTCCGCATTCCCAATCATCGAACAAGTCATTGCAGTTCTTCTGCTCACACCGCGTCCGGAGCCGTACCTTGGTTGCGTGATCTCAGCATAGTCGCACAACAAGCCGGCTGCGACGACACCTGGAGATGGTTGTCCAGGGGTGTACCAGGATAAGGATTTCCAGCTCTTTGAAGGCCTTTCCAGGTAGTTCTCCTTCATAAAATGCACCAGGATACGAATTTCCAGCCAGGATAAGGATTTCCAGCTTGCGGAAGGCATTTACAAGTAGTTCTCCTTCAAAAAATGCACCAGGATAAGGATTTCCAGCTCGCAGAAGGCCCTCTCCTTCATAAAATGCACCAGGATAAGGATTTCCAGCTCGCGGAAGGCCTTTCCAGGTAGTTCTCCTTCATAAAATGCACCAGGATAAGGATTTCCAGCTCGCGGAAGGCCACCAGGATAAGGATTTCCAGCTCGCGGAAGGCCTTTCCAGGTAGTTCTCCTTCATAAAATGCACCAGGATAAGGATTTCCAGCTCGCGGAAGGCCTTTCCAGGTAGTTTTCTTTCATAAAATGCACCAGGATAAGGATTTCCAGCTCGCAGAAGGCCTTTCCAGGTAGTTCTCCTTCAAAAAATGCACCAGGATAAGGATTTCCAGCTCGCGGAGGCCTTTCCAGGTAGTTCTCCTTCATAAAATGCACCAGGATAATGATTTCCAGCTCGCGGAAGACCTTTCCAGGTAGTTCTCCTTCATAAAATGCACCAGGATAAGGATTTCCAGCTTGCGAAAGGCCTTTCCAGGTAGTTCTCCTTCATAAAATGCACCAGGATAAGGATTTCCAGCTTGCGGAAGGCCTTTCCAGGTAGTTCTCCTTCATAAAATGCACCAGGACAAGGATTTCCAGCTCGCGGAAGGCCTTTCCAGATTGTTCTCCTTCATAAAATGCACCAGGATAAGGATTTCCAGCTCGCGGAAGGCCTTTCCAGGTAGTTCTCTTTCATGAATTGCGCCAGTATAAGGATTTCCAGCTCGCGGAAGGCCTTTCCAGGCAGTTCTCCTTCATAAAATGCACCAGGATAAGGATATCCAGCTCGCGGAAGGCCTTTCCAGGTAGTTCTCCTTCATAAAATGCACCAGGATAAGGATTTCCAGCTTAAAATGCACCAGGATAAGGATTTCCAGCTCGCGGAAGGCCTTTCCAGGTAGTTCTCCTTCATAAAATGCACCAGGATAAGGATATCCAGCTCGCGGAAGGCCTTTCCAGGTAGTTCTCCTTCATAAAATGCACCAGGATAAGGATTTCCAGCTCGCGGAAGGCCTTTCCAGGTAGTTCTCCTTCATAAAATGCACCAGGATAAGGATTTCCAGCTCGCGGAAGGCCTTTCCAGGTAGTTCTCCTTCATAAAATGCACCAGGATAAGGATTTCCAGCTCGCGGAAGGCCTTTCCAGGTAGTTCTCCTTCATAAAATGCACCAGGATAAGGATATCCAGCTCGCGGAAGGCCTTTCCAGTAGTTCTCCTTCATAAAATGCACCAGGATAAGGATTTCCAGCTCGCAGAAGGCCTTTCCAGGTAGTTCTCTTTCATAAAATGCACCAGGATAGTTCTCCTTCATAAAATGCACCAGGATAAGGATTTCTAGCTCGCGGAAGGCCTTACCAGGTAGTTCTCCTTCATAAAATGCACCAGGATCAGGATTTCCAGCAGCGAAGGCCTTTCCAGGTAGTTCTCCTTCATAAAATGCACCAGGATAAGGATTTCCAGCTTGCGGACGGCCATTCCAGGTAGTTCTCCTTCATAAAACGCACCAGGATAAGGATTTCCAGCGCACGCAGCAGTACTCCTTCATAAAATGCACCAGGCTAAGGATTTCCAGCTCGGGGAAGGCCTTTCCAGGTAGTTCTCCTTCATAAAATGCACCAGCGTAAGGTCGCGGAAGGCCTTTCCAAGTAGTTCCAGCTCGCAGAAGGCCTTTCCAGGTAGTTCTCCTTCATAAAATGCACCAGAATATTGATTTGCAGCTCGCAGAAGGCCTTTCCAAGTACTTCTCCTTCATAAAATGCACCAGGATAAGGATTTCCAGCTCGCAGAAGGCCTTTCCAGGTACTCTCCTTCATAAACTGCACCAGGGATAAGGATTTCCAGCTCGCAGAAGGCCTTTCCAGGTAGTTCTCCTTCATAAAATGCACCAGGATAAGGCGAGTCGCCTGGGATTCTCCTTAATTGGTTGGCGATAAGCTTTCCAGCTTTGCAGTGGAGTCGCCCGGGATTCTCCTTAATTGGTTGGCGAGAAGCTTTCCAGCTGAGATTTGCAGCCGAGTCGCCCGGGATTCTCCTCACTTGGTTGGCGATAAGCTTTCCAGCTGAGATTTGCAGCCGAGTTGCCTGGGATTCTCCTTGATTGGTTGGCGATAAGCTTTCCAGCTGAGATTTGCAGCCGAGTCGCCCGGGATTCTCCTTAATTGGTTGGCGATAAGCTTTCCAGCTGAGATTTGCAGCCGAGTCGCCTGGGATTCTCCTTCATTGGTTGGCGATAAGCTTTCCAGCTTTGCAGCCGAGTCGCCCGGGATTCTCCTGAATTGGTTGGCGATAAGCTTTCCAGCTTTGCAGCCGAGTCGCCCGGGATTCTCCTTAATTGGTTGGCGATAATCTTTCCAGCTGAGATTTGCAGCCGAGTCGCCCGGGATTCTCCTTAATTGGCTGGCGATAAGCTTTCCAGCTGAGATTTGCAGCCGAGTCGCCTGGGTCTCTCCTTAATTGGTTGGCGATAAGCTTTCCAGCTTTGCAGCCGAGTCGCCCGGGATTGTCCTTAATTGGTTGGCGATAAGCTTTCCAGCTGAGATTTGCAGCCGAGTCGCCTGGGATTCTCCTTAATTGGTTGGCGATAAGCTCGCCCGGGATTCTCCTTAATTGGTTGGCGGTAAGCTTTCCAGCTGGGATTTGCAGCCGAGTCGCCTGGGATTCTCCTTAATTGGTTGGCGATAAGCTTTCCAGCTTTGCAGCCGAGTCGCCCGGGATTCTCCTGAATTGGTTGGCGATCAGCTTTCCAGCTGAGATTTGCAGCCGAGTCGCCTGGGATTCTCCTTAATTGGTTGGCGATAAGCTTTCCAGCTTTGCAGTGGAGTCGCCCGGGATTCTCCTTAATTGGTTGGCGATAAGCTTTCCAGCTGGGATTTGCAGCCGAGTCGCCTGGTATTCTCCTTAATTGGTTGGCGATAAGCTTTCCAGCTTTGCAGCCGAGTCGCCCGGGATTCTCCTTAATTGGTTGGCGATAAGCTTTCCAGCTGAGATTTGCAGCCGAGTCGCCTGGGATTCTCTTCATTGGTTGGCGATAAGCTTTCCAGCTGAGATTTGCAGCCGAGTCGCCCGGGATTCTCCTTAATTGGTTGGCGATAAGCTTTCCAGCTGGGATTTGCAGCCGAGTCGCCTGGGATTCTCCTTAATTGGTTGGCGCTAAGCTTTCCAGCTGAGATTTGCAGCCAAGTCGCCCGGGATTCTCCTTAATTGGTTGGCGATCAGCTTTCCAGCTGAGATTTGCAGACGAGTCGCCCGGGATTCTCCTTAATTGGTTGGCGATAAGCTTTCCAGCTTTGCAGCCGAGTCGCCCGGGATTCTCCTTAATTGGTTGGCGATAAGCTTTCCAGCTGAGATTTGCAGCCGAGTCACCTGGGATTCTCCTTAATTGGTTGGCGAGAAGCTTTCCAGCTTTGCAGCCGAGTCGCCCGGGATTCTCGTTATCTGGTTGGCGATAAGCTTTCCAGCTTTGCAGCCGAGTCGGCCGGGATTCTCCTTAATTGGTTGGCGATAAGCTTTCCAGCTGGGATTTGCAGCCGAGTCGCCCGGGATTCTCCTTAATTGGTTGGCGATAAGCTTTCCAGCTTTGCAGCCGAGTCGCCCGGGATTCTCGTTAATTGGTTGGCGATAAGCTTTCCAGCTGGGATTTGCAGCCGAGTCGCCTGGGATTCTCTTCATTGGTTGGCGATAAGCTTTCCAGCTGAGATTTGCAGCCGAGTCGCCCGGGATTCTCCTTAATTGGTTGGCGATAAGCTTTCCAGCTGAGATTTGCAGCCGAGTCGCCTGGGATTCTCCTTAATTGGTTGGCGATAAGCATAAATGCGCCAGGATAAGGATTCCAGCTCTTGGAAGGCCTTTCCAGGTAGTTCTCCTTCCCAAAATGCACCAGGGCAAGATCCCCAGCTTTTTGAAGACCTTTCCAGCAGAATGCAGCCATGGAGCCTTGCGTTCCCCTCCCTAATTGGGTCGGGATGTGATCAAGGCCTGCGTGAATGCAGCCAAGGAGCCAAGGAGCCTTGCGTTCCCCTCCCTAGTTGGGTCGGGATGTGATCAAGGCCTGCGTGAATGCAGCCAAGCAGCCTTGCGTTCCCCTCCCTAATTGGGTCGGGATGTGATCAAGGCCTGCGTGAAAGCACGGGATGTGATCAAGGCCTGCGTGAACGCAGCCAAGGAGCCTTGCGTTCCCCTCCCTAATTGGGTCGGGATGTGATCGAGGCCTGCGTGAATGCAAGCCAAGGAGCCTTGCGTTCCCCTCCCTAATTGGGTCGGGATGTGATCAAGGCCTGCGTGAATGCAGCCAAGGAGCCTTGCGTTCCCCTCCCTAATTGGGTCGGGATGTGATCAAGGCCTGCGTGAATGCAGCCAAGCAGCCTTGCGTTCCCCTCCCTAATTGGGTCGGGATGTGATCCAGGCCTGCGTGAATGCAGCCAAGGAGCCAAGGAGCCTTGCGTTCACCTCCCTAATTGGGTCGGGATGTGATCAAGGCAGCCTTGCGTTCCCCTCCCTAATTGGGTCGGGATGTGATCAAGGCCTGCGTGAATGCAGTCAAGGAGCCAAGGAGCCTTGCGTTCCCCTCCCTAATTGGGTCGGGATGTGATCAAGGCCTGCGTGAATGCAGCCAAGGAGCCTTGTGTTCCCCTCCCTAATTGGGTCGGGATGTGATCAAGGCCTGCGTGAATGCAGCCAAGGAGCCTCGCGTTCCCCTCCCTAATTGGGTCGGGATGTGATCGAGGCCTGCGTGAATGCACGGGATGTGATCAAGGCCTGCGTGAATGCAGCCAAGGAGCCTTGCGTTCCCCTCCCTAATTGGGTCGGGATGTGATCAAGGCCTGCGTGAATGCAGCCAAGGAGCCTTGCGTTCCCCTCCCTAATTGGGTCGGGATGTGATCAAGGCCTGCGTGAATGCAGCCAAGGAGCCAAGGAGCCTTGCGTTCCCCTCCCTAATTGGGTCGGGATGTGATCCAGGCCTGCGTGGGGTAGGGGGTTTGGGGGCATGTTTTGGGGTCGAAATTTGCAATTGAAATTGAAACACTACAATTTCTATTTATCCTGGCCTTGAGGGTTTAGGGTTTAGGGTTTAGGGTTTAGGGTTTAGGGTTTAGGGTTTAGGGTTTAGGGTTTAGGGTTTAGGGTTTAGGTTTAGGGTTTAGGGTTTAGGGTTTAGGGTTTAGGGTTTAGGGTTTAGGGTTTAGGGTTTAGGGTTTTAGGGTTTAGGGTTTAGGGTTTAGGGTTTAGGGTTTAGGGTTTAGGGTTCAGCATCTCTGGTCCAAGCATTCACTAAGGGTTTTTGTCATCACCATACGTGTTTGGCATCACCCCTCCCTCCCAGATCCCTCTTCATCTGAAATACATATCTTCTTTCTTACTTTGGTTGATCATTTAGCTCGCAACATTCTTTCCCGATTCGGCACCGTCGAGTCAATTCGGCGCACGGATAATACAACCGGTTTCAAAATTTCCAATTTTTCAAGGTTTTTCAAGGTTTTTCAGAGTTTTTCAGTGTTTTTTAAGGTTTTTCAATGTTTTTCAGGGTTTTTAAGCCTCAGTTCTGATGAAGGGCCGCCCCCGCGACCTTTTCACGGCCTAGTTTTGGTCAAGGGGGGGTGGTATTTTTCAATTTTAACGGCAAAATAGTCTTCGGAGACCCCCCCTTGCCTCAAACTCCGACCCCCCCTTGAGAGGGAAAGTTTGCACCCCAAATGAGGGGGACCCCAGGATCGGGGGTGGCATTTTTCAATTTTAAAGACTCCGGGAAAGTTTGCCTCCAAAAACACCCCAAATGAGGGGGACCCCAGGATCGGCCCGGGTCCCTATTTAAAATGTGATTTTTTAGTACTGAAATCGCACCCAAAATTTCGAATTTCGGCGTCCCGGGGGGGCCCCGGGACAATGTCCTGGGGGCGTCCCGGGGCGTCCCGGGGGGCCCCCGGGACAGCTGTCCTGGGGGTGTCCCGGGGGGGCCCCGGGACATTTGTCCCAGGAGGGCTCCGCGACGCCCCGGGACGCAAGGACAACCTGTCCCGGGGGGGCCCCGGGACAACCTGTCCCGGGGGGGCCCCGGGACAACCTGTCCCGGGGTGACCGGGACAGCCTCCCAGGGCCTCCCAGGGGCCTCCCAGCGGCCTCCCAGGCTCGAAGATGGAAAAAACAGGGGCTCAAGCCGAAAAACGCGATTTTTGAGCAGTGGCCCAGGCTGAGCCCGAAAAAGGGCCTCTGGTCCAGCAACGAAGGCCGCAGTCGGCACCGCCCCCAGAGCCTAAATCCTAAACCCTAAATCCTAAATCCTAAAGCCTAAATCCTAAATCCTAAATCCTAAATCCTAAATCCTAAATCCTAAATCCTAAATCCTAAATCCTAAATCCTAAACCCTAAACCCTAAATCCATCCTAAATCCTAAATCCTAAATCCTAAATCCTAAATCCTAAATCCTAAATCCTAAATCCTAAATCCTAAATCCTAAATCCTAAAGCCTCAAAAAATCATAATCAGAACACGACCCCATTAAGGTTTAAATATACATAGGTAGAGAGGGTTTAGGGTTTAGGGTTTAGGGTTTAGGGTTTAGGGTTTAGGGTTTAGGGTTTAGGGTTTAGGGTTTAGGGTTTAGGGTTTAGGGTTTAGGGTTTAGGGTTTAGGGTTTAGGGTTCAGCATCTCTGGTCCAAGCATTCACTAAGGGTTTCTGTCATCACCCTACGTGTTCGGCATCACCCCTCCCTCCCAGATCCCTCTTCATCTGAATTACTTATCTTCTTTCTTACTTTAGTTGATCATTTAGCTCGCAACATTCTTTCTCGACTCGGCACCGTCTAGTCAATTCGGCACACGGATAATACACAGCCGCGTCGGTTTTCTGGGTTTTTTTACCAAAACCGAGCCTTCACCGGTTTCAAAAATTTTCATTTTTCCTCCCCGGAATACTAAATTACGAAGCCGGGCCTCCCCGGAATACTAAATTACGAAGCCGGGCCTTCGGAGACCCCCCCTTGCCTCAAATTCCGACCCCCTTGAGAGGGAAAGTTTGCCTCCAAAAACACCCCAAATGAGGGGGGACCCCAGGATCGGCCCGGCTCCCTATTTAAAATGTGATTTTTTAGTACTGAAATCGACGGTCCCGGGTGGGCTCTCGTTTTCTGGATTTTTTTACCAAAACGGAGCCTTCACCTCAGGATTGCAAGTTTTTCAAGATTTTTCAGAGTTTTTCAGTGTTTTTTAAGGTTTTTCAATGTTTTTCAGGGTTTTTAAGCTTCAGTTCTGATGAAGGGCCGCCCCCGCGACCTTTTCACAGCCTAATTTTGGTCAAGGGGGGGTGGTATTTTTCAATTTTAAAGGCAAAATAGTCTTTGGAGACCCCCCCTTGCCTCAAACTCCGACCCCCCTTGAGAGGGAAAGTTTGCACCCCAAATGAAGGGGACCCCAGGATCGGTGGTGGCATTTTTCAATTTTAAAGGCAAAATAGTCTTCGGAGACCCCCCCTTGCCTCAAACTCCGACCCCCCTTGAGAGGGAAAGTTTGCTTCTAAAAACACCCCAAATGAAGGGGGACCCCAGGATTGGGCCGGCTCCCTATTAAAAATGCGATTTTTTAGTACTGAAACCGACGGTTCTGGGTGGGCTCTCGATTTCTTGGTTTTTTGACTAAAACGGAGCTTTCACCTCAGGATTGCAAGTTTTTTTCAAGGTTTTTTCAAAGTTTTTCAGAGTTTTTCAATGTTTTTAATGTTTTTCAATGTTTTTCAGTGTTTTTAAGCCTCAATGCTGACGAAGGGCCGCCCCCGCGACCTTTTCACAGCCTAGTTTTGGTCAAGGGGGGGTTGTATTTTTCAATTTTAAAGGCAAAATAGTCTTCGGAGACCCCCCCTTGCCTCAAACTCCGACCCCCCCTTGAGAGGGAAAGTTTGCCTCCAAAAACACCCGAAATGAGGGGGGACCCCAGGATCGGCCCGGGTCCCTATTTAAAATGTGATTTTTTAGTACTGAAATCGACGGTCCCGGGTGGGCTCTGGTTTTCTGGATTTTTGACCAAAACGGCCCCTCCCAGCAAGTCCCCGGGCCTCCCCGGAATACTAAATTACGAAGCCGGACCTCCCCGGAATACTACATTACGAAGCCGGGCTTCGCCGGAATACTAAATTACGAAGCCGGGCCTCCCCGGAATACTAAATTACGAAGCCGGGCCTCCCCGGAATACTAAATTACGAAGCCGGGCCTCCCCGGAATACTAAATTACGAAGCCGGGCCTCCCCGGAATACTAAATTACGAAGCCGGGCCTCCCGAAATACTAAATTACGAAGCCGGGCTTCCCCGGAATACTAAATTACGAAGCCGGGCCTCCCCGGAATACTAAATTACGAAGCCGGGCCTCCCCGGAATACTAAATTACGAAGCCGGGCCTTTTCGGAATACTAAATTACGAAGCCGGGCCTCCCCGGAATACTCAATTACGAAGCCGGGCCTCCCCGGAATACTAAATTACGAAGCCGGGCCTCCCCGGAATACTAAACTACGAAGCCGGGCCTCGCCCGAATACTAAATTACGAAGCCGGGCCTCCCAGAGAGGCCCCTGAACCCTAAATCCTAAATCCTAAATCCTAAATCCTAAATCCTAAATCCTAAATCCTAAATCCTAAATCCTAAATCCTAAATCCTAAAGCCTCAAAAAATCATAATCAGAACACGA